GAAAAAGCCAAAGTTTTCAAAATTCCCTGAACAAAAATAGCAGTAATAGATGGCGCGTTCCTGAACTATTAGAGCAGTTTATTTTAAGGTTACTCTGGAACTGGGGGGAATGGTGCAAGATAACAAAGAAAAACTTGTGGAGCCAGATGAGTAGATGTACTTGAATAAGAGAACCCACTAATAATTTTTCAAGAGAATTGTCAAACTGAAAGTCTTTTTGATAGGGAAGACTTAAGTAAACCACTTGTAATCTCAGTTCAATATATCAACTAGCCTCACACTTCAAGAGTGTAACTTTAGTCTCTATATCTTATGTTGATCACAGAAAATGGATGACTTATGTGCTGTTTCTGTCTATCTGAGAAGTCAAGCTCAGGAAAAAATCTCTTCTTGTCTTTTCAAAGAGTGACAAGCAACTTTATCAGAATCTCAGAACCACTATCTAAGATTCAAAATAACTCAGTTCTTTTTCAATCTTCAATTACAATTCTAATTCTTCTTTGCAAGACACTAATGTATCTCAAGACAAAGTCAAATTCCAACTGCAGAAGAACTGGAAGAAATTGTTATGATATGCAAGTAAAAAGTCTTCTTCTTTGCTAGAAAATCAACAAGTCTAGTATGATTATTCTAACTATAAAGAGGCAATTTTAACCATCACTAGCTGATGGATGCAGGGATCAGTGACTGAAAGAGTCTATGTCTTTGGAACAAATAAGAAAGAGAGAAGAGTTCTTTTGTTTAAGTTGTGATTGAATTTATCTTTGCTGGCCTCAACTGGCAAATGGTTTTGACTTTTCAGAAGTGAAAATCAGGGCCAGAGAAAATTGATAGAATATCAGAGAGATGAAGAATTGATCAGAAAATCAGAAATATCAAATCAATTTTGAAGAGATCTTGTTTTGACTGAGTTGTGGTTGAATTTATCTTTGCTGACCCCAACTGGCCAATGGTTTTGACTTTTCAGAAGTGAAAATTGGGGCCAGAGAAAATTGATAGAATGGCAGAAAGATAGAGAATTGATCAGAGAATCAGAGATATCAAATCAATTTTGAAGAGATCTTGTTTTAACTGAGTTGTGGTTGAATTTATCTTTACTGACCCCAACTGGCAATTGATTTTGACTTTTTGGAAGTGAAAATCAGAGCCAGAGGAAATCAATAGAATATCAGAGAGATAGAGAATTGATCAGAGAATTAGAGATATGCAACTGAATTTAAAAAAATTTTGTTTTAACTGAGTTGTGATTAAATTTCTATGTTCTGCTGGAATTTTGGCTGTGTTCTGCAGTTGTGCCACTTTGATGAGATATAATAGAGTTTGGTGGAATAATTATATAAGTTTAGACTCCAATTCAGCTTTGGTGTTGCTGGTTAAGACTTAGTAAGCCAGGAACACAAAAATTTTTCACTGTGAAAGACTGATGGAGAGCCACCAAAACTGAGTGAATTCTTAATCAGTTTGAGAATGCAAGTATTTTCCTCTTGAGTATAGATTCTTTAACACAAAAGAAATCAATTTCCAACATTTCAGAGCTGTAGTGGAGATGGTTGTGTTGTGATGACCAGACAAAGTGTCTGAGTAGTCAAAACTGGCAATTCAGTCTTTGGTGTGAGATTTTCCATCCACCATAGTGAATTGCCAGGCAAAAATGGAGAGAATAACTAAATCAAACAAGAGCTTTCCAATGAATATATTTTCATTAAATTTGACTTAGAATTGATGGTGTTTCATATCAAGTGCTGTGATTGTATGGGAAGAGAATCTTTTGAAGACTGAGAATGCAAGAGTTTAATTCTTTTTGAACAAGAACATGATTTTCTTTCTGACATTCTTGTGCAAAAACTTTGGGAACTGATTTGTTAATCAGTTTAAGAACACAAATATTTTTCTCTTGAGTATAGATTCTTTGTCACAAATGCAATCAATTTCCAACATTTCAGAGCTGTAGTGAATGTGATTGTGCTGTGATGATCAGACAAAGTGTCTGAGTAGTCAAAACTGATAACTCAGTCTTTGATGTGAGATTTCCCACCCACCACAGTGAATTGCTGGGCAAAAATGGAGCAATAACTAAGTGAAACAAGAGCTTTTCAATGAATATATTTTGGGTAAATTTGACTTAGAATTGATGGTGTTTCATATCAAGTGCTGTGGTTTTTTTTGTCTATGATCATGTCTTTGATCATTGTTTTTGTAACTTAGTTAAATTCTGCAAGACAGCTTGCAGATAGTCTTCATAGTCTCAGACTGCACAAGACTATAATGAATAATAATAATAATAATAATCATAATAATAACTAGAATTGTGACTAACTATCAAATTCTGAGAAGAAATTGAAATCAACTGAGTTGAGTTTGACTTTTAGTCTTGTCTCATTGGAATTTCAAAAGTGAGTCTAGTCTAGTAATATGCAAAGATCAAATTATTAGTTCATTTTAGTGCTTTTCAAATTAATCATACCAATTTCTTTGATCTACTTCTTTCCTACTTACTGTAACTAATAGCTTAATTAATTTTACTACACAGATTTTGCAGATGTGGGTAGCAATAGTAGTAATTTTGTACAAAGTGGTTGACTGGTTGTTGGGTGAAATTATGTATTTGGTGGGATATTGCATTAATATAGTAGCTAACCACTCCACTACAGCCATCAACATTATATATTTATATATCTAAAACAAGCAGAGCTTGTAAAGTAGGCTGCAGAATCTCTTTGAGATCTCAATGAGACAAGACTGAAAGTCAAATTCAATTCAGTTGATTTCAATCTCTTTTCAAAATATGAATAAAAGTTCCATTCTCTTCTCAGTTTTAAATTTTATATTTCAAGTCCCATTTCTAGATTTCTTTATCTCTAAAACAACTTTAATTTTTTTTCAAACTCTAGTTTGAAAGTGTATTTTTACACCAAAATATGACAAAATAGAAAAATTGACAAATCAAGTCAAAATGCATATATACATTGATTTTGATACTAAAAATAGTATAAAATAAGATTATTTTAAGTTTAGGGAAACTCTATTTCTAATTAAATAATTCCAATCTTTTTAAATTAAGTCCCATTTCCATCTCAATACTTGAAACTCAAGTCCCAGTCCCATCTCAGTTTGAACCATCAAGTCCCAGTCCCATCCCATTTTCCCATTAGTTCATTAGGGATGGGATCCCAGTTGGGAAATCCCTGTCCCTGCGGTGAGCCTATTGTAAAGTTGTATTATAGAATAATAATATTACAAATTTTTATTTTCTCTCTAGTCCAATGAAATACCCTTCTTTTGATTCCTATAAGTAACAGTCATTATTAAACTTTGTGGTGCTGGGTGGGGCTCGAACCTTTCGTGAAGATTCTGGTTTTTCTCGCTGCACTCTGTGAAAGAGAGATTTTAGTTTACTCTCAAGTTCCTGATCTTGATTGCCTTGATAAAATTTGCAAATGAAATGTCCACCTGGTTTCAAAACCTCAAAACTGAAATCTAGAGCAGCTCTACACAAATCCTGCAAGTTCATCAGTATATTTGGCAGCCTTCATTTAGGATTTACTGGGCATACCATGCTTCTGGCATGATCTCGAATAATGATGCCGCTGGTATTCATCATCCTATGATAAGGGTCACTAAGACTTCTTTTTGAAAATCCAGTAATTTGCTGCCAGGGAGCAGACATATCACTTAGGACCACATCAACAGCTTCATTTCCTTGTAAAACGTGAGGTGTGGAATTTGAAACACTTCTTTCACTCGCAGATCCACTTGCATCCCTCTCTCTATCGATATACCCGACCTCATTTTCTACTGTTCCCACATGGTTCGATGATATTTCAAATGTATGTTTCCGAGGTCTACCCCTGTTGGGATTTCGAAGAAACTCCCGCACATAAGTCTGGACTTGAGTAGAAAGAAAGTTGCCTTGAATGGTTGAAACGCCTTGAGGAGGTTGAGCGGGAATGATGTCGACCCCAAGCACTCGGCCACTCGGCCGAGTTAAGTCAACTGCAACCTGATCAGAATTAGCTGCCATCACTGACGCAGTATCGAGCAGGAACATTAACTTACTTGGGACCATGAGCCTGGAGCATAACCCTTAAAACCGTTTTGGTTAGTATAGTAACCATTCGCTTCATAAGAATTTATACCAAGTCCACAACAGTTTGCCCGGGTTTAAATATGCCATGTCGATTGTTAATCTAGTATAAAAAATATTATTAAAATGGGAATTATTTCTGCCGGGTTAGAAATGTGACTACCTGTAGCAGCTTGAACGCAGCACGACTTTTGAGACCTTCAATAATTGCCTGTTTCCTATAAATATCCCTGGATTGACGTGACTGCCATCGAGATGAAGATGCAAGCCTCACTGAAACAACCAAATGTGTGGTGCATTTAGATGGATTGGATCGTTGGATCACATATGCGGCTAAATTGTAGAGAACCATTTGCGTCCAGGTCAAAACATTATATCCAATGGTGGAGAGTATTCCCTGGGTTGCAAACTCCATGCACTGGAAGGTGGGTAAAATAACTAGTACATATGTACGGAGTACAGACGAAGTACCCATGACATTGCCAAGCTTCTAGCCTGTCCACGAGGTTCCGCCCATGGTTACTCCGTACACTAGTTAGTTATCCATCTGAGGGCCTGTCAGGTGATGCGTCTCCCAAATCTGATGGAAGCTCTGAGCAACTGAGGCAAATTACACATGTAGTTTGCTATTTGTCCCAGGTAATAACCAATGGCTGATTCTCATTATTTTTTCATAATTGCTGCGTCGTCATGTCTAAATACTATAAGCCCTCCCGGCAAACCGAAACGATACATTACAGAAGCCGCCTTTTCCTATCACGATTTCACCCTGCCCGTCGTTCTTCTACATTAGCAGGTGATTCACAAAAGCCTAGTAGCAATAGAAAGAAGGAATTTGTCCCTCAATCACTCCGCCATCCTTTGGGTTTGCCGCACCCGCCTTCTGCTGGCCAAAATACTGGCATCAATTCCCAAACCCTTCGCCAGCGCAAACATGATTTCCTAAGTCAAGACAAACATATGGAACGCAGAGCTCTACTGTACGTGGACAGGGCCATTGCTTTGTGCTTTGATTAGATCTAACATAAGGATTTTGGCCTGTTTAGTGTGAGGGAATTTTCAAAGCCTTACTTTGGCGATTGGACTAGAATGCGCTATCAGAAAGGCAAAACTTTTATATCGAATTCACACCTTTTTAAGGGCGACAAAGCGCTTTATTTTCCTAATCTTAAGGGTCGGACATTAGATCTTTCCAAACCCTTGCAGGATACTACACCTGTGCTGGCTGGGAAGATCTCCGTTGTCAGCATTTTCTCCAGCCTGTGGGCTGAGCGCCAAGCCGCGTCTTTCGTCGGCCTTCAGAAAAACCCAGCATTGCACCAGATGATTCAAGAATCAAATTTGATCGCGCAGCGAGTAGAGATTAATTCTGAGGACAATTGGCTTAAGGCATTCCTTGTGCGTTGTTTTATGGGGAGCATGCGGCGAAATGTCCCTCAGGAACAGCACAAACGGTACTTCCTTGTAACAAAGGGATTCACAAATTACATTAGAGATCAAATTGGATTCACGAATGGGAAAGTCGGGTACGTCTACCTTTTGGACGACATGTGCCGTATTAGATGGGCAGGAAGCAGTATCGCAACTTCCAGTGAGATAAAATCTTTGAATGACGGTCTTCGAAAATTAATAGAGGAAAAGAGACCAAGAGCAAGGTAATATTACAGCTAGAATTAGACTCCTTGACTGCATAGGATTCCGCTCTGTTGGTACTCGCTACCCCATTGTATATATAGGTATGGGTAGATTTTCAATAACTCCACGTATCATGCTAAAACATCTGAAGGATTTCTTGGACTGTATAGTTCAAGAAGGCGAGACATTCACTGGTCCCAAGAAGCTTCACCAAAGAGCACACTTCTTTATGTAATTTGTCCTAGACATTATTGCCAGTTTCTGGGAATGTATACAGTACTGTCAAGTGAGCAATCAGCGGTAATAAAGGAAAATCAGGAAACAAGCCCCTATGAAAATCCCCATTGTAAAGCTATCTCTTCTTCTTTTAGCCCCAATTCTGCTTATCAGCGAATTTACTCCAGGCACCTGGTTAGCAGCGGCCATTACTCTGTGACGAATGCTAGTCAGCGTCTCCCTTTGTAGAGTAAAGTTATCGTTGACAGCATAGGCTTGACTGAGAATACTATCCATTGCACTGTTACTATTATCAATACGACCTCTCTCTTCCAACATATAGTCTGCTTCAGCAATGCCGGAGTCTGACAAGTGATGGGCATTGATATCAGATCTAATGTTTGAAAGTAAATTTTGGCGGGCTCGAGATTCTGAAATACTATTTTGAAGCCGTCTTAGCTCTTGCTGATGGTCATGAAGAATTGCTCGGTGCCGAGCAAGATTGTTCCGCTTTAAAGCGGACGCAGGTAAGGAAGATTCAGAGTCGAGAAGGCGGGAAAGTTGCGAAATTAGAGATTGACGCTTGGCGTCACTGTCAGTAATCTCTCCTAAGCTTAGTTGACGGCCGGGTATATGCCATACAAGGTTCAAGAGCTCCTCAAGCTGCGTCTCAACACGCCGTTCTTCTGCGGATGGTGTCGTAGGGATTTCGGGTACGGACGCAAATTGGGAGAACACATGAAATAAGGACTCAGTCTATGCAATCAGTATAAGGAAATTTACAAATAAACAGATTTACTATCATACCTGGGCTTCGAGAGATCGCGCCTGCTGCCGTAATTGAGCCCATCCTATGCCACTCGAGGATGTCATGATCGAGTGTCTAGGAGGCCTGGAAACGCCGTGGAACAAACAAAAAAGAGTAGGATTGGCAGTTAGTTAGTTAGCCGTTGACATCCTTACGGCGATTTGGCAAAGGCAAAACTAAATTATACGTTTACGAAAAAGAGATCTAATGTGAAGAAAATAGAAAACGTATAGCTGTTCACTTCCATGTATGGATATAACTACTTCGTAGTAGTTAAAATAAGGTTACACGTCGTTGCCTATTGCGTACGGAGTACGGAGTAAGAGTACTAGGCCAAAGAATGCAGATCTATCAGACGACATAGGAGCATGTTATGGTCATGTGACCGAGCGTCTATACCATACTGGATCTTTTTGCTCCCATAACGTTACAGTAGTGGCAATGTTATCACTATAGTCACTCAGCACAATGTTGAAAAAATGATTATGTAATATTACCATTATTGATTGTCTCAATCTTAAGTTAATATTTTCAATCTTGACTTGTATGGAGTTAATTAAAGTTAACTTAACTAAAAAGAACAATGTATCAAGACTACAGTGTAAGAAAGAGTACTACATTGCACTTATAGTACCAAAGTAGTATTGCTCTATGTGCAGTAAGAGAAGAATTCATTTTGACTTTAAGTACTAGTGAGATTGAAACTATACTAACTATTAAAATACTAGATTCTAGAGCAGATCTAGTTTATAGTGAATACAATTATTATTATTATTATTATTATTATTATTATTATTATTATTATTATTATTATTATTATTATTATTATTATTATTATTATTATTATTATTATTATTATTATTATTATTATTATTATTATTATTATTATT